AGGAATTTTAAAATGTTGAGGTGATGAATGCAAAGATGCAGTGCAAGGGAGCAGGGTGTGTCCTGCAAAGCATGCTTAAGTGCAGCTTGAGCACTAACCTTAAGTAGTAGGATGCAACTGCGAGATGCTGAGGTGATAACTTCCATCATGCCGGGCCCAGGCTGGAATTTGAAAAGGCTGAGGTGATGAATGCAACGATGCAGTGCAAACCTCAAGTAGTAGGATGCACGGAAAAGCAAGCATCGGTCCTTCCAATTGGATCCGACCAGCCACCAATCATCCACAGGTCCTGCGAGGCAGCAAACTTTTCAAGACGAACGTGAACCGGAATGCAGTCCTGAGGTAGCTACCAATCATCCAAAGGTCCTGCGAGGCAGCAAACTTTTCAAGACGAACGTGAACCGGAATGCAGTCCTCAGGAGCCAGCCACCAATCATCCAAAATCCAAAGGTCCTGCGAGACAGCAAGAGATTCAAGACAAATGTTGTGAGAATCGGAATGCAGTCCTGGAAAATGTTCTCAGGGCCGAAGTTCTCGATGGCGGCAATGGCTGTGGCTTGGACGAAGAATCAAAGGTTTTGGGTTTTAGGGCGTCAAGGTGTTTGAGGGTTTAGTTATCAGAAGAAGTATGTTTTTGAGGAAAGCTTTCTTTGATCTAGGCTGCCGAGGCAGACTCTAGACTCTAGATCGATTACGACAAATGCCTTCGGGCAAACAAGCACAAAATCAATCTTTGGTCAAGCATGCTAGCTTGCAACCAACCTGAAGTGCACAGGCAAACCAATGTCGCATTTTGCGCTTCCCTCGAGCATTCAATCACTTCCCCTACTGGATTCCAACAAGTTGCTTCAAGTCTTCTAAAGAGTAGATCTCACCAGAATCCGTCACGTACACCTCCAGGCCGAGCGCTTGCATGCGGCGTACCTGCTCCTGGGCTCGCTCCCTCAACTCCGCCTTGGCTCGCTCCCTCTGCAACTCCTCGGGTGTGCGATCCGGTGGCCGGCCGACCCAGACGATCCACTCGAGCGATCCCCACGAGGGCTCCTCGAGGATGTTCGACCGCCTGCGGACGATTCGGCGTTTGGCCCACTGTCGGAGCTCGAGCGAACCCCACTCGGACCATTGTCGGAGGACGATCGACCGCCTGCAGATCCGCCGGCACTCGGACCGAGCAGAAAGCCTCTTCGCATGCCGGCAGGTCAATCTATTCAGGGATCCCTTGAGTGATTGAAATCGCTGCAGCAAGCAACCATGCTGAAGGGTCAATCGACCAAGGTATCCAAGTGACAGAACCATGCAATCCAAGCAAACAACCAAGGAGAAACAAGCAAGGTGCCCAATCGACCAACCGACCAACCGACCAAGCCAAGCAAGCAACAAGGGCGAAACAAGGGTGAAACATGCAAGGTGCACAATCGGCCAACCAACCAAGTCAAGCGAGCAACCAAACAATCAAATCGACCAACCGACCGACCAAGCTCTCGGTGGGGCTTCCTACGGCTCTCGGTGGGGCTTGCTTGGCTCTCGGTACGGCTCTCGGTGGGGTTTCCTACGGCTCTCGGTGGGGCGACGAGTTTTCCGGTGCTCGGACTATTTTTTTTCAAGGTCGCGACTATATTTTGCAGGTCCCGAGGGTCCCGACGATACTTTCCAGGATCCCGACGATATTTTCCAGGATCCCGACGATATTTCTGGATTCCCGACGATATTTCCGAAGTCCCGACGATATTTCCGGAGTCCCGACGATATTTCCGGAGTCCCGACGATATTTTGGCCAGAAATGCATTTCCGACTATATTTTGGGTTGCTTTGATGTCCCGACGATATTTTGCCAGCCCCGACGATTTTTCTTCGGAGCCTGACGATAAAATATAGCCAAAAGCATGTCCAGGTAGAGCGCACCTTAGGACGCAAGCAAGACGCAACAGACGCATTTGGCGCATATTCTGGCGCACATTAGGGCGCAAATATGACGCAAAGGATGCCTTTGGCGGACATTAAGGCGCACATTAGGACGCAAGCATGACGCAACCGATGCATTTTGCGCACATTAGGCGCACATTAGGACGCAAGTATGACGCAGAAGCTGTATTTGACGCACAGTAAGGCGCACGTAAGAGCGCAAAGCACGACGCAGCCACGTGAGCGGCGCACATCAGCCGCGGTATGGACGCGAGAGTAACGCAAAGCAACTGTAGCGCAACACTTGTACTGCAACAGCACCCTTGCACAAAAGCTGACTGAACACGCAAGCTGTGCAAACGGGCCTGGTACGCAAAGCAGTCGGGAATCCCCCCGAGACGCAAGTACGCTAAAGCTGTGAGCGAGCCGAGGCTATGACGCGCGAGGCTGGCAGCACACAGCAAAGAAGACTGCACATGCACTGCCGAAACCTGCACTTCCTGCCCTTACTCGAACCGACTTTTCAAGCATACTCAAAGCTCCAGGCATGCCTTATGTCTGCAAAGTTTCTTGCCTGTGGGTGCAAAATGCACCACCTGAAAGACACTGACGATGCACCCGCAAGCCGGTTTCAGGTGCACTCCTTGGAAAGTAGTGCAACGGTCGAGCTCCGCGCAAACAACTGCCTTGTGAATAGTCTTGGCAGTGATGATGAAAAGGAGCTCATCCGGAGATCCTTGTTCGCCTGACGAGTGCAAAGGAAGTGTGGCTGCCTTCTCTAGGGCCACAACATCACCAGGGTCCGAGGCCGAAGGAAAAGTAGCACCTGCCAGGTCTGCATCCACATCGATGGCAGAGCAAAGCTGAGTCGTGTGCTCGAGCACTGGAGGTCCCCCTGGGATGGCAAAGCAGGGCTTTGCAAAGGTGCCCGACCGGGTTTCCAACTCCGGTTCTTGTAAAGGAACTTGTCCTCCCCTGTGTTGAGGGCACATCGGTCGCCAACCTTGTCGAATCGCGTGCAAAAGTTCTTTCTGTACAGTGAGTGCACCGAAAACATCATCTCTGCTATAAAGGCGCGCACTGCTGTGCCGGTGGTGGCCTTGCACAGCTCGTCGATCTTCGTTGATGCAAAGTTGGTTTGCCCATGACAACAGCGTGGTTTTGCAGCTATGCAAAGTAAAATTCAACACCTGGGGTCCTGAAAGCTTATTCCACTGTGTACTTTTGTACTTTGTATGACGCAAACTGTCCAGCAGTCTCGCGCTACGCTACAATGCACAGTGGCATCGGCTCAGAGTGAGCAAAAGCAGTGAATCCCACCGGGCTAGCCACATGTGGGCAGACACTGCAGGAGTGGTTCTAGAACCAACGTCAGCATTAACAAATGTGAAACAGAGCACAAGTCGAGGGCATCGATCTAACCAGACGAACTGGACTACTCGATCGTATATACACATTGGTCTAACCAGACGTACTGGACTACTAGACCACTGTACACATGGCATCGGTCTAACCAGACAGACTGGACTACTCGACCGTATGTACATGTACAGAGAAGTCCCAAGTCGGAAGCAGACCATTGGTATAGCAATACTATACATATCAGAGGCACCATACAGAAGATGGAAGAGCAGTGTATCGAAGGCACGTACATTGCATTGCCCACCAGACCAGGAAAGCTGTGCCATCGAATAAGCAACCGCGGATCTTTCAGACCATGGTGTCATACATAGCCAGCATATATAACCAGTGAAGAACCATGGTCATGGTGGTGGTGGAATCATCCAACTGAATTCGACGACATGCCATCGTGTATAGCTCCTCAAAGAAATCCTCTCGATGGGTACCCACTAGCAGCTGTTGAAAATAACGAATCGCACCAGACATGTCGAGCTGATAGACATTTCGGTGCAGCTGCTTGATAAGTGTACTTTTCCACTCAACGTCTGTACATGGAGCCTGTTCAAAGTAATAATAAATGCCCCACTCAACAATGTCCACAGCAGAAAAACACCACCGATGCAGAAATTTAGCAAATTGGTGAGGAGCAAGAAGCTGAGACGCAGGCTGATCCGCCCATGCATGTAGCATAGCCACCGTGATGGCAGAAGGATGTTGTTCATTGCCCCCGTCCGAAGACAACGAGGTACATCATCAAGTGAATCACATAGGACCGGAACCAAGACTGATGGCTGCGCTGAACTTCTGTGTGGATTGTTGATTGCTTCCTGTGCCTGAAAATTGGTGGTTGTGTAGCGGTCCCGAAGACAGTGTGGCACATCATCCAGTGAATTGTAGGTGCCTCTGGCATCCATCCACTGAGCATGCTGTCTGGACTGATAAATACCAAAAGGCACGTCATGAAGTAAATTATAGGGCATACTTAATACTGGTAACCTCAATGCTTGGACCTGCTGCGGATGCCGACGGTGCTCCCACCAAAGTGTTGGTCGCCATGAAGAAAAACACAAGCATAATGACCTGCACACACGTCCAAGAACTGGCAAATGCATGAAATCAGCCAGAAAAGTGCGACGGAGCGAGAGGTCATTGATGCAAGTCAAGGTATGCAATCAAAGTGCATTGCAGCACTCATTCGGCTGTTTTACCGCAACTACAGTGTGCTGACAAACCCCACGCACTCCAGGAAGATCAAGTAGACTTCAGTCATCAACACACGGAGTTGTGCATTTGTGGGGCGGCGCGCCATACAGGCATCATCAGTGCAATACAACGTGGGATCTTCCTGGGTGGACTCCCAATGAATCAGCAGCGTTCTGTAGTGACCTGAGCGCGGAGTGGAACCGTGATGTCCAATAAGGGCTCTGAGCTTATACATACGCCAAGCTGGTCGCTGTCCAATCTCTGTTTGATATACTGGTAAACGTACCTGAAGCGGAATCGTTACAGCTCTCTGATCCTTGCGAACTCTGGCACCGACTGTATAAAAACGAAGAAGCTGCAGGCACACAAACCGAGGCATTGGCCACAGCCCTGGTGCAGGAGACTGCTGAGCCCATGCTTGTATCAGCCCTGGCAGCTGAATCTCCGAGTTTGAAGCGCGAGCGGGCATCGGAAGCATAATGAGGTGCTGACCTTCATCGGTTGAGAATCCTGACTCATCTCGGGACTGCCAAGTACTAAGTGGAAGCACATGAGAGATCGGCCACGTACGATCAAGAACATGTTGTGCGAACTCAGCCACATCCTGTTGTCGGTCAAAATGTGGCCAGTCTTGAATCAATACCTGAAAAGATGGATGATCAAGCAGGCACAACAGTTTAAGACCATGCTGGCAAATAAAGCACATGACTTGGAATAGAGCCTGGGCATGGTCAGAGATCGAGACCTCACCAAATAGCCATGCAAGCGCCAAGAAGAAGGAGTTGGCATAACAAATATTATGTGGGTTGCGCAAGCGACATGATAGGACTTGCCTCGCAGCCACTGCTGTAGATGATCCTGGAGCTGAGATCGCTTGGCCCGCTGTGGTCGGATGCGAGCGCCGATTGCCTCCATAGCCGAGCAGTCCACCAATGCTCGCATGCTCTGATGCAGACGGCATGCACTCGGCTTGAGCGAGATGTCCAGCAGGAAGGGAAGAGTGGGACCCGTCTGTCCTTCTTCCAGGGCCTTGGTCGCCTGAAAACGTGTGATATGGTCCTGAGTGTTCAGCCCCTGCAGAGCATTCGTGATGTGTGTCATCAGAACATCCCACTTGATCGGATCCCGGCTGAGCTGTAGCTGAAGTGCTTTGTTCTTGGGGCACCATTGGCGATAGGTCCAAGCGCCTTCGTCCGTCAACAGGCCCTGTTCCTTGAGCTTCTCCTGAAGTTGGTCGTTGGCCCGGATTTTTTCCAACCGCATCTGAAGTTCCTTGAGGAAGAGTCCGATGAGGGCTATGCGGAGAGACATGGTTAGCTTGGTCGGGTCGGCCTTCTTCTGATTGCGCCATTCCAGCGCCCCCGCGATCAGAACCGGTACCATTGTAGCCTCGCCCGGGACCTGAAAGACCAAATAGTAACCTGTATCCGTCTGAAGTCGATTGAGCTGGTCTCCCTGGCGGAGGAGAAGGATGACAATCTGCTTGAGAAGCTGTTGAAGATCCTCCGGTGACAAAGTACCGCTGGATGCCGTTCCTTTGCCCTTGCCGCTGCCCTTGTTCGCAGTTCCGCGAATCCACGGCTCCGCCCGCGGACGCTTGTTGGTCAGGGGCTGATTTCGCGCCGGTGTTGGTGTCGGACTCAGGAGCTGCTTGAGGTCCACTGCTGAGGATAGGCCTCCCAGGAGACTCTGGATCTGGCTGTCGGCATCGAAGTCCGGCATGTCCTCCATGACGACCTGAGACATGGCTGGTAATCATGTAGGCCTGAAAAACATGAATACATTTGTGAGCATGCTGACGAGCATCCGTGGTGGTGGCACCACAGAAGCGGCACTTAGAAACGGCAACTTTAGCTAGCTGCTTACACTCGGCCCGATATGCTGCGATCCACGGACTGGTGAGATTCTGGTGCTGTTTGAAATAATGCTGTTTGAGAGCACTGGCATCCACTGTCCACTGACCGCAGAACACACACACACACACACACACACACACACACACACACACACACACACACACACACACACACACACACACACACACACACACACACACACACACACACACACACACACACACACACACACACACACACACACACACACACACACACACACACACACACACACACACACACACACACACACACACACACACACACACACACACACACACACACACACACCACACACACACACACACAACACACACACACACACACACACACACACACACACACACACACACACACACACACACACACCACACACACACACACACACACACCACACACACACACACACACACACACACACACCACACACACACACACACACACACACACACACCACACACACACACACACACACACACACACACACACACACACACACACACACACACACACACACACACACACACACACACACACACACACACACACACACACACACACACACACACACACACACACACACACACCACACACACACACACACACACCCCACACACACACACACACCCCACACACACACACACACACACACCCACACACACACACACACACACACACACACACACACACACACACACACACACACACACACACACACACACACACACACACACACACACACTTGCTTGAAGTCATGTTTTGTACGCCACAGTTGAAGCACTTTGGTCCACGTAAACTTGCTGGCATCCTGTTGTAACTGAACATCCTTGACCAGAGGCTGATCACCTTCAGGAGGTAGGGTGGTGGCCATGTCCGATTCAGCCACCCATGCATGCTGCGTGGTGCGAAGAGGTTCATCAGCTTTGTTCGTGGTAGCTGGAGCGGATGCAGCAAAGGTGGCGGGGTCCTCGTGGCGGAGAATAGGGCATCCATTTCGCTGTATGTGTCTCTGCAAGCTGCCCCATTTTGAGAATCGGAACCCACAAAAACGGCATTGTGGAAGGCCGTTGATGGAGTAGACGGAGCGATCTTGGGGTAGTTCGCGTTTTGGTGCCAATATCTTATGGGCTTTTCCTTCATGGGTCTTCACTAAGTGTAAGGACGGAAAGGACTGGCCGCATACCTGACATCGAAATTGCTTGGTGTCAGCTGGTAGTTCCTGTAGTCGAGCCCTAGACGACTGCGGCGAGAAAGTGGACTCAGGCTGTGTAGCAGGTACATTCAAGTCTGTGGAAGTCTGCGGTGCATTGTTTTGCTGGTTAATACCTGCTTGTAGGGCTTGAACACGTTGCAGAATATGATCCCGATCATAGCACGGTAGGTCGGTGTCGGAGCAGAGACGCGCATGCACCGACTGAAGCCTTTGAGATAGCATCTGCCGAACAGATGCCATTTTGAGACTGTCCAACAGTTCTTGGTCTGTGCTGCGATCAAGATGTCTGGGTCTGCCCGTAATGGCGCGGAGATGACGTAGCATTTGAACGTGCAGCAGTTTGATCCCCGCCTCGGTGACACCCGTGGCCTCCAGTCCATACAGCTGGCTAGTCTGTATACAAATACGCCACAGGCGGAGTCGCTGACTTCGGCTGATGCCTCCACGTCCCTGCAAGATGCGACGAAGCCGAGAATGGTGAATGGCTGCCTGCTGTACACGATGCTTGACACTGGCCAGCTCATAGTTACGATAAGATAGGATAACTCCAAGATACTTGAACTGAGTACCAAGAGGAATAGACAGCTTCGCAAACGTGTCGTAACGAAAGTGTCTGTGATTCTCAGCATCTTTGTAGATATTTTTGGACAACCAAATATCCGCTGCTGTCCCACGGATCTCGATCAACATTGTGGATTTTTCGGCACTGATCTGTAGACCAAAGGACTTGAGCACCGAGAGCACCGTGGCAACCTCCAACTTCATCTGATCCAAGGCCTTGGGGTCATCAAGATCCCATTTGAAGTGAAGATCATCAGGAAAGGCAGTGGAGTGTTGACCTGTCCAGGGTTCTTCTTCTCCCATCGTCAAGTCCAGATGGTGGAAGAGGTAAGCGACGAACAGCAGCCATAGGCATGGAGCAAGCATACAGCCCTGTCTCACACCCTGAGCACTGTCTATATCCTTCCAGGAATCCGGGTCATCCACGTTGCCGTGACGGTAGGTTCCGGCCTGATGAACTTGCAGGATGGCTGTGGCCAAGTCAGGCGGTACTCCCGCCCATGTTAACATGGTCATCATGGTGCTGCGAGGTAAACTGTCAAAAGCTTTGGAGCAATCAACCGTGAGTTGAGCACCACCGGTGCATAGTGTTCGAACAGCTCCTTGTCGTCGCTCGTGCAACGTGAGGGTTTGCTGCTTGACCTTAGCTCGAACAGAGTCACAGTGTTGAGCAATACGAGATATAGCATCCGTGGTAGTTCTTCCTCTTGTATATGCATATTGCGGACATTGATGGAGCAATTGCTCCACATATGGCTGTAGCCGCCAGCGCAAGAGGAGAGCCATAATTTTGGCTAGTGCCGGTTGAAGAGCAATAGGCCGAAGGTTTTCCGGTTTGCTGCTGGGCTTATTGGGTTTACCCAGAAATACCAGCCAAGACCGAGCGATGTCCTCATCACCCTCGTGCTCGCCGGCACCCCAGTGCTGCGCCAAGTATTCCTGTAGTAGGGGAGCAATGTCGGTAGCGCAGGTACGCCAGCTGCAAAGAGGAGCTGAGGTAGGGGCTGAGGCTTTGAGCGTGGACAACTTGCTGATTGCCATCTCCACCTCCTGCGCAGTAATATGTAGTCCGTGCCAGAGATATCCCGAGCATTTGGGGAGTGTCGGAACATCAAAAACACCACGCCAGTAGTCGTGAATCAGCCCAATTTCCTCCTGTGGCGTACATAATGCGCCGTCCTTATTTCGCATCATAGTACGTTGTCGGGGACGGCGAGGCGCGAGCCGGCGCACGGCCGCAAAGAAGGAGTGGGAGTCATGCTTGTGGTAGGCATCCTCCGCTTCTACAAGCTGCTGATCCCATTTGTCCCGGCGCGCTTTATTGGACTGCGAGTGCAACGCCTTGCGAGCTTTGACAAATCGCCATTGAGCTCTCCAAAGATGAAAGGCTACCCGAAGGGGTGGCCCAAGGGTGCATCTGCGAAGCTGTGCCCTGGCCTGCCACACATGCCGAAGAGAGAGTTTGGTCTGTTCGTTATCCCAGACTTCGGTCGGGCGAGAGCTGAGGCGAGTGCCGGGGAAGAGTTCCCGAGACCCTTGTCGTAGGATGGCATCAATCTGCATGGGATGCATGACAGCATCCACGGGCTGATCCTGTAAAGCGCGAGTCAGATGGCTCCTGACAACACTCCGCAGTTTTTCAGCTTGCTGAGGATCTTGCAATAGTACATGAGCCATGCCAAGATGATCCATACGGGTGGGTTGTGGCTTGGGGGTGGGATCCACAGCCTGATGATACGGGTTCTTGGGAGTAACAACTGAATACACAGGTAAATGTCGGGCCCCTGACCTCCACAAAAATAGTTGAATCTGCGACTGCGGTCTGGAGAGTTTGGCGCGATGTCCAGCATCACGCTCCCTGACACCCAGGTAGTCAATTAATGTAGAGTAGTCCGTTCCCACATATGTGGCCGCTCTACCCGGGGGTCCCCACGTGTTCAGAAGACAGAGGCGTTGTTGCTGTACGATATCCTGCCACTCATGCTGATCCTGTGAGGGGTTGGTACTGACTTGAGCACCCATTCCGACGAGCCTTGGCATCGGGGAGATACCAGTATTGATATCGCCACCAAACATCAGAGTGTGCCTAGCTGGCACCGCATCAAGACATTTCTGTAGCTTCTCCCAGAACCGTAATCGTTTTGCATAGACCTCAGGGCTATGGGAGATTCTGGAGTGTTGGTAGGCACATACCAGAGTAATGGGCCGATGTAAGAGAGGTCGGCGCTTGTCCTCCGTGATGCGAACCTCCAAAAGACGGCCTGGGACCCATTCCTGATAGCGAATATGAGATGAGGAGGCAAGCTGGTTGTTGATCAATACGGCTACACCACTGCCATTGTTGGCCTTGGCAGTCTGACCTGCACCTGACAGGATCCAATGCCAATGCTGTGCGGAAAACTCGGAGGCACTGCGCCAGGTCTCCTGTAAGAACACAATTTGAACGTTGCGAAGTGTGGATGGCTGGTTCAGCCACTGTGCCAGCTCATCATATCCCTCTTTGTTCAATCCACCAACATTTATAGTCACCAATCCAATATCACTGGACTGTATAGGAGTGACAGGTCGTGCAGACTGTTGTAGGGGCCAGGAGGGCAGGTTCGGCACATGATTGGGACCAGTCGACGTTGAGTTGGGGCGGAGCGGTATAGGTTTCAGCTCATCTTGATGTGTGTATAGACGATTGCGATACCAGGTGGCCCCATGCTGTTGCAATCGACGTTGTGCTCTGAGAAAACTGCGTTTGACGATGAAGTCTCCTTGTGTTGTGCGTTGTCGGTGTGGCTTCGCCTTGAGGCGGCCTGGGAGCACCGGTTGCGCGGCTCCCGGAGCACCCACCGAAGGTGCTCAACCCTCGCTTCTACCCCTGAGGCTCCAAGGAGTTGGTACAGTAGGATAAGCATCCATAGTCCCCAGGGGCCCCCGGACTTGGGACCGGGGCGGCAATAGCGAACTGGTGGGGGGGTGTTTCGGGGTATTGCTGTGCTAAATAACCTGATACAGAAAATCGTGCAGGCGTAGAGGCAGCCACATATGTAGCAGCATCGGACATGCAGGCACCACGTCCAGTAGGAGGCATGTTGTACACAATATGTGCCCTGGCAACAGACATGTCGAATGATATGCAAGGCGATGCTGGCACAACACAGGAGCATTGCGGCAGTTGCAGGGGCCTGATCACATGCACATCGCCACTGGGACCAGAGCTGCTGTTTGAGCAGGTGCACACATGTCGCAACCAATACAATAGCCTGACTGAGACCAGAACTCCTGTAGCAGGCAGATAACCGCCCATAACATCCATGAGCCTGACAGAAACATGTGGATCTGAGTACACTGCATTCTGTAGGCTCCACGCAGACACCGAGCAACGATTTCTAGGGGAGCTGACCGAGTTGACCAGGTGCCAGTAAAAGTCCACCAATACATAAGGAGGATCATGTATAGACCTGACACGGGTGCAATGAAGTAGCACAGAATAAAGCATGCGAGGCAGCTGAAGGCAGCATGCGATGGACGCTTTTTCATATATGCAGAGGGGGCATTGGAGGCCGTCGTGGCTGCATGGGATGGCGAAGCATCCGTAACATCTGCATTCTGCTGCTGCTGTAGACGTGCCTTTTGTGTAACACTTTGTCGTCGACTGACTGCAGCTCGTTGCATCGCCTGAAGTTGTGCGGTACGCTGCTCCATGATATCCGCCTGTGGATCGGTGCCTTCGACCATACATGAGGCTGTCGTAGCAGGAATAGGGGCCAGACTGACCACAGAGTTTGCATCGGAATCTGCTGGCCGAGCAGAGCCACCGGAGCTATGATCAGTAGAGGGCTTGCGTGTGCTTTCTCTGGCAGTCTGCCGCCTTTTCCAGGGGGCTGTTGTCAACACTGCATCAGCTGCTTGACGGCGGAGAGTATCTTGTTCTGTGCAGTTCTCCTCGCGGTTCTCCACTGGACGTCGAGCTGTATCTTGGATCTCCTGGCTCCCAGTGTCCGGCCTTCTAGGACGAGGCTTGGATCGTGCTTTGAGGCCACTTTTGCCCACTTGTACAGCCTTGTTCACCATTCTAGGCCTTGGAGTTTGAGTGCTAGTCGAAGTGCCTCGGGCATTGTCCTTTAACTTCCTGGGCGGCGTCGGGGGTCGTGGCGTGGAGCATCCGTCCACCAGCTCCGTAGTACGACCTGGGCTTCGAGCCCTTAGGCCTGTTTGCTTGATCAGGATGCCGTCCGAGAATTCGCTGACCACTATACTGGACGCAATAGGCACACGAGCAGGCTGTTCCGAGTCAGGAACACTAACTGTATCAGCTTCCCTGGGATGGTCACTGGATCGGCTCGGCTTGGACTTAGCCTGTAACTGTCGGTGTCGTGGCAGTGGTTCACGAGGTCGGGGATCACTAGCTGAAGCACTCGCAGAGGCACTTGTCACTGATGAAGGGAGAGCTGTGTCATGCAGGTCTGAGTCCAAAGCGGGACGACGTCGAGGCAGCGCTTCTCTGACTTTGGCTCTCTTCAGCGGCGGCCCAGCCGAGCCACGAGAGGGATCCCGTTCCATACCAGCCAATGCTACACAAGTCCAAGTATAGCCATCAGTGAGAGCCGGAATGTATCGATAGCATATGCCAACTCGCTGATGTGCCCTATGCTCAACATCACGTGACATAGTCAAGCTTTGTACATGATAGCGTGTACAGCGAAGGATACTGCTGGAACATGGTGCTGAGTCGTCGAGTCCCAACACACGTGTGTACATCAACATTGACCACGGTGCACGTGAGATCAGCCAACATACTGCAAGCGGACACCGCCAGTGCAAGAAGATCTGTTTGCAAACAGAGAGCAGTGCTGGCTTCAGCAGTTCAATCGGCACCTGATGTAACTGATACCAAGCTCCAAGCTGCCAGGAGAAGGTCAAAGAGCTTGATGGGAAGTGTCGCCTCGACCTGAGCAGTGCCATGTCGAACGGACGCAAGAAGACACTGAGGAGTAAGTTGCGAGGAGTAGACCATCTCCGTGTAAGATCTACCGCCTGGCAGGTGCAACGTGGTATCCTCGACATACTTCTGCACAGACAGTGCCACTGACTCAGGCTGTAGCTCCCTCGCCCAGCACGCAAACCCAACAGTTGTCTGCCCGACCAGACAACATGCCAGTAATGCCAGTGGTGCAGGAATGACTGTAAAGGCAGCAGACTGGGGTGCATAAGAAACCGCGGCAGCATTTTTCGAGCACATGTGTACAATATATAGCTGTCGATGTTTGCACCCGCGCCAGGCTCACTGCTGATATTGCCATCATGCCATATATAGCACGTCCTGGATTGCGATAGGCCCGTACTAGTCTGGACACAGCCATGGGCTCCGCCCAAACCGATCCAGGTAAGACTGCTGGAAGGTGCACCCAAACTGTCGTCGCCATGCAGTCTGGAAGACTCCTGGGGCGGAGGCCTCGCAACTGAAGACAAAGATCCACAGGTTTTCACCATGCTGGCTCGCCGTATGGAGGTCATGCTTGGCGAGTTCCTGTTGATGCTCTTCAGTAAGATCTCCTGTGCCAGTAAGCAACCGAGAAAGTCGTATGGCATGTGCAAAAGCTCGGACTTCACAGTCTGCAGTCGGGGGCCCATGCATATTGGAGACCTCGCGCTCGTGGATCGGATCAAGCATATAGTGCATTTCTGGTGAGAAACCAGCTGTGCAACCACTGTAGACCGCAGAAAGACAGTATGCCCATGCACCAATTGAGTAAGGCACCGTACAGCTAAGGTTTGACCAACAGTGGCAGCAGTGTACAAGACCTGTAAAGGATCACTGATAGCATGCATTGACCGTGGAAGCGGGTCATACGCTGCTGCTTGTGGCAGAGCTTGCAGCGGCTTGAAAATACAGACATATGGCACATCCAGAAATAACTTGCACTGCTCAAGAGACGCTGCAGACAGGCAAGAATGCATCCCGGTAGAGGCCTTGTCCAGAGAGCTCGAAGACACAGGCTGAAATCCATCATATCTCGTCGACCTGACAGAAAGACTACAGCGGCATACAGGCACCTTGCAGACAGTACTGGAAGGTATCGGGGCCAGAGCCACAACTGAAAGGAGCACAGACCTGATTGCAAGCATACAGAGTGTCGTGCGTCTGCAGATATCGCGGCCCAAGAGTGGCCGGCCGGAATAGCATACAAGGCGTGCCGCCACCTGTGTTCCGGAGGCACCAGAAAAGGAGGCCGAGAGAACTGCCACCTCGTAATTGTGCATCTTCGGGTATATAAGCCATTGTCCGACCTGAAGCACAACGAAGTCCAGACTGTCAATGGAAGGCCACAAGGCACTGACCAAGGCTGAAGGAAACGTTGGATCTGCTGAATCTGCTGACGACCTGATCGGTTGCAGATACCGTGTCCCGAGCTGAGTCGGCCTGATGAGCAGACAATATGTACCACCACCTGTTTGCAGGAGGCCAGGAATTCAAGTCCAACTCAAACAGAGGCAGAGAGGACTGCCACCTCATTCCGGTTCTCGGCTGGGCGTTGAAGTCGTAAACTGGCCTGATACATAGTGGAGCTGATGTCCATGATGCTGGGGAAAAACCACAAGGCACTGACCAAATCGGAAGCTGATGCAGGATCCGCAGTCTACATGATCGTATACGTGGCTGCTGCTGCTTTGTACAGAAGACCAGAACCTGAGAGTAACTGGCCTGGGGAACATCGCAAAGAAACGTCGGCAAGCTGCACAGTACCAAAACTGTCAATGGCAGAGACCACATGTTGTTCACTGTACCAATGCAGTCAGGTGATGTTCAGGTTGCAGGTGCTCCAAGTAGGCCCAGTATACGTCAGGGTAATGTACTGCTGTCCAGTGCGCCAGTTGTAGAGCAGATGGCCGCGGGAGCACGTCAATAGCCCACTCCAAGGTGTCAAGCGCTGGTAGGTCTGACCAAATGAGTGCAGCCAGTTTCAAAATACGCGCAGAAAATGGCGAAAATGTGAGCTCTTCTGCCAATAAATCAAGCGCAAAAGCCCGGATATGCAATGCAGGTGACAGCGGAATTTTGTAAAAACCGTGGGCCAGCCAAAAGAGCAACAAGCCACTTACCAGTTTTGAAAGAGACCACAGCTGAATCGCAATTGACCGGAAAAAGAGAACAGGGGGTCCAACAACGCGCGCCCCACAGTCTCTATGGCAACGAGACACCGGACGGCCGATGCCTCCTACCCCACCCAACTACCCCACCCACACTCACAGAAAACAACGCTAGAGCCGAGAAGCTTTTACTCCACTGTGCCAAAAGGTGGCGCAAAGTAGCAAGGCCCTCCCCATAGGTCATGGGAACGAACAACTCATCGTCGCTCGAGTGGAAAAGTAAAGCATCCGGTTCCACTGGGCCCGCCACTTGACCAATGCGACACCATTCATTTTTCAGCAAAGAAAGCCAAAGTTGAAACCAGGGGCCGACCAAGCCAACTCCGACTACTCCAAAAGGAGCGCCACGCACTGAGGTCTTGGTCCGGAAAGAAATTCCTCGGCCCACCTCCTGTTCGTAAAGCAAAGATCCCCACTTCACGTGGATGGCATCACTGAAGCGAAGAGAGCCCCAGATCATAACGAGGAGTGCCCCGATGTTTAGTTGCAGCTCAGGAAAAGCATTGGAGAGCAGACAGAACTCCAAATAAGCAACAAAATCCAAAGGCAAAGGCACTGACTCACGACGATCTGCCTCATTACGCTACCGGAGGAGGACCAACCCTCCAAGTTCACGAGAACACACGAGAAGGGAGAGGGGGGAAAGGTCTACGGCAGGGCCCCCAGACTCGTCGACAGTTCCCGTCGAGAACTCCTCAGGCCGGCCCACAACCGTCCTCGGCCGCCAGCGGAGGTTCACCCTCCAAGATTACGGTTTCCGCCTCGCTGATCACCCAGGTCGTGCAACTCCTGCTCCGACATGCGGATGCTCTCAACTGCATCAAACAATCAACGACCTGGATTCTGTTTCAGGGAACGGCCCCCCCGCTAACGGTGGTGGATGCACAGGCCACCATAGCGGCGGAATGGAATCGGCTGAAGTCCAGCAACCCCTCGGCCATCACACAGCCCCTCCGGGTAGTACTATGGCAAACATGGGCGTCCGAATTCATCAAGCGCCTCCAGCTCCTGGACACCGATCAGAATCAGCGAAGCGAGGCCATTCGGCTTCAGATTCTCACGGAGCCAGATTGCTTCAAGTTCGTGCGATGGGACCCCAGCCAGAAGCGCCTCATCCCGCAGGACAATCTTGCCCCACTCACGGCAAAGGAGATAGTGGATATGCTTGAGGAGACCATCGTGCTTTGCAAGGAGGATGGAGTGCTCATCAACTATCATCCGATTAGGCGGCTGACACAACAAATGGCAGGGGCAGCAGTCACATTCTCGATGCATCTAGGATTCAGAGAGGCCAGAGCCTACCGCTTCTGGACAACAATCGAAGCCCTGGCAGGGAACGCATCGCTTCAATTGGTGGCGACGACCGTTCGCAGAGATCCTCCTCCTCCTCGTCCTCATCGTCCTCCCTCCTCCTCCTCCCTCCTCCTCCTCGTCCTCCTCATCCTCCTCCTCCTCCTCCTCCTCCTCCTCCCCCCCCCCCCCCTCCTCCTCCTCCTCCTCCTCCTCCTCCTCCTCCTCCTCCTCCTCCCAAAATTTCGGCTCATACGACCCTGGCCTTCTTGCCCGCGGGCAGTGTCTTCGCCTTGGCTTTGGCAGCCAGCTTCTTCGGGGCCTGTGAGCAAAGGAAAAAAAAGATCGTGCCGACACCTAGAAATAAAAACATGCATGTGTGCGGGTGTGCATGTCTTTACGAGAGATATGTAGCCAAGCTCCCGGCCATGATGTCTGAGAATGAAGGCACGCGGGGCTGACGAGATTTCGAGCTGACAAAAACTCATGCGGGCAAAAGTCGGCACGCACCTGTCTCCACCCCATGTCTCTGTCTTTGCATCCTTTCACAGAGCCGCGAACATGGTCTCTTCTTGCAGAACAAGGCACGGCTGTGGTCCCCTATATGTACAAGTATATGTAGAACATGCACCTGTCTCCACCCCATGTCTCTGTCTTTGCATCCTTTCACAGAGCCGCGAACATGGTCTTTGCATCCTTTCACAGAGCCGCGAACATGGTCTTTTCCTGCAGAACAAGGCACGGCTGTGGTCCCCTACATGTACAAGTATATGTAGAACAGCTGTGCTGACCTATGTGCAAAGAAGGGCTCAGGGAACATCTTTTTGGGTTAGCCGATGGTTCTTTTCTAGGGGAGGTGTCCTCAACCCTGTGTTCCTTCAAAAAGCCAGCACAAGGGAAGGTGTCCTCGCCCCTGTAAACACAGACATTTAAGCCGCCTCATCCAGGAGGTGGGGCTTTGCCTTTGGCAGGAACAGACCTGTGCTGAACAGGTTCCGCAACGATCGAGATGCTATGCTTCCACCCTTGCGTGCCCATCGGAGCCGGAATGGACAGATGCACGGAGCTGTTTCCGGTTCCTGCGGCTTGAACAGGACCAGGCATAGACACCTTCGCCGTGTGGAAAGTCCGAGACTCGAACCCTGTAACTGTAACACTCGTCGCCGGAGTGGGCGGAGGCGGGCCTGCCGGTGAGGTTCTCGCCGGAGATGGCGGAGGCGGGTCTGATGGTGAGGTTGTGGAAGGAAATGAACCTGGTTCAGAAGCCGGCCACCAGATGTTGGCCGGCCTGGGCGGAGGAGGGCCATTGACCGGAGAAGGCGGAGGAGGGCCATTGACCGGAGTAGGCGGAGGAGGCCCCTTCGGCTTCCCGTATGCCTTTGCCGTTGCTTTTGCTTTACCCTTCGCCTTGGGATCCACCGCCAACGATTCCTTGACGGTGCTGACGGCGGCCTCGTTCGACGAGCTCGGAGAGTCCGTGTCGGGACATACTCGGCTCGGCCGCTTCTTGCGCTTTGCCATGCCGGAGGACAGAGGGAGGGAGAGCTGCAAAACACAAAACGTCTGTTCGATCCACAAGATACTTATATCAGAGACGATTGTGCGAGACACGGACACAGAGAGAAAATGTAAGCACTGGGCCTCAGATTTTTCTCCACGAAACCATTTTGCCGGTCCCTGCACAAGTCTCACTACATATTCTGCAGAGGGGAGGTGTCCTCAACCCTTTGTCGGCGAGATCCTATTCTCACGGCCTCTCAAGCATTTGCCACTGGACGCAAAAAGTGTAGTACTGTCATCTTCCGAAATCCGGATGAACTTGGGAGGGCTGCGCCTTCTTCTATCCCTGAGCATCTTCTGAACGCCCTTCATCGCAGCCCTCATCCTTTTCATTGCCTTCAGCCCGGAATAGCCGTCCTTGCGAAGCTGCCCCCTCGAAGAATTCTGACACACTTGAGCAGCTTTGCCAGGCGGAAACCAGGCGAGGCAGCGACGATGCCCTGCGCTTTGAAGCTTTTTCTCGTCCCGATCTTTCTGACCCGAACGATGACTTTCTCAAGCTGGTAAAGCTCGTACCTGTTCTGCTCATCAGCACACGTGGACCAGCATGTTTTCATGAGCTCCATGATCGTTGCATTCACCCCGTGACACGACGTCATCTCTGGCACGCCATCTCGGATGTGCTGCACAGTCACCGCCATGCCATGGCGACAAAAGGGTCTCTCCCTGTACACTTTTTTCGCATGTATAATAGGTGTGCAACTGCATGTGTTTTCATGTGAAACTATGCTCCAAGTACTCTTCCTGAGTTGCTGATTTTCTTGAGCGCCAAGACCTGCCATGGCTCATGTGGCACAGGTGGCGCAATGGCTTCTCCAGAAGCAGTCGTTCCACGCTAAAGAGGCAAAGCCGCAGGCCGACCAGTTACTATCGGGCGAAAAAGGTCACATTGCGCGTTTTTCAAGTTTCACTTTTTTGTCGCTTTTGCTCGACAGGAGCTGACTCCAAGACGTCTTTTGCTCGGCTTGTTGCTGGCGCGTCGTTTCTCGGTTGCAAATCTAGCCACATTTTTTTTGGAATTCCTCTACAAATGTGGGCTGTATTGAAACTATATACATATTTGCTCGTCCAAACTACATACAGTGCATGACGAAAGTACATGTAGTTTGTATGAAACTACATGCAGTTTCACTCAAACTTCATGTAGTCTATCGAAACTACATGAAGTTTAGCAAAACTACATGTAGTTTAAAACTACATACCTTTTCATGAAAAGTTCATGTAGTTTTCAAAAACTGCATGCACTTTCAGTGAAACTGCATGTAGTTTTTATAAACTACATGCATTTTCAATGCAGCCTTAACAGACCTGTATGCATTTTCACCAAACGGTGACTACTTTATTGGACATTTCATGTATTATTAACAAAAATATATGTGTATTTTGTTCAGAACGATACATGTTCTATAGCCCAAACCCTGAATTTTGTCAAACAAACACTGCATGTTAAGCCGAAAATCATGTATAAACCACTAATTTCTGCTGTGTTCTTGCAGTTTCCGTTACAAATCTTGTACAAACAAACATACTGTTGATGCGTTTGCCCCACAACAGGGTCGTTTTGGAGAAGAGCCAGCACCAAAGTGAACAAATGTTTAGTACAAATTCAACACAACCATATGCATGTGCACGACAAATCCAGGAAAACTGTGAACCGTTGCTAAAGCTGCCCACGAAAAAACGTCTTCCATGAGGAATCCAGACGCTTTCTGTTGCAAGCAACCGACAAACATGTGCTGAAATTCGCTAGACCCTCAGGAAAATGCAGCAATTCCGCGACATTTGGGCTTTCACCGAGAGCACATTCGTCACCCGAAGGGGCTCCTGCGAGTCGATGCAGAAAGTATAGGCTCTGAAAAGTAAGCGGTATCAACGTTTATTTAATGATTCTTGAAGGGCGATACCAGCAATGGTGGAGATTTTTCGTTAAGCGCTGTGGAGGTTCATTCATTTCGGGTGCTGTTCGACCGTCGGCAATCAAAGAACCCCACACGGATTCCATGAAAATGCACACTCATCGCGAGTAGCCTATGAGTGTGACGACGTCTTCTCAGTGAGCATTCGAATCGACTCAGAGTCTGGCTATTGTGCATGCACAACTTGCTTTAACCTAGGGAGCTTTCACTTGTATCCTCCTGGAAATTAAGCACAACTAAAACGAAGTTAGAGTGGACATATTTCTTGTTTTTGAATTTTGTGGAACTGCGTGCTGTAGTGGTGCATGCACAATAGTCAGACTAGAGGCGAACCGTTGTTCTGGATGAATGGGCTCGGGCAAGTCTCTTTAGGTAGGTCGCATGTCATGTGTGCTCGTCTGTGCACAATCAGAGAACCCCAGACGGCTTGAATGAAAAATGCACAGTTATCGCGAGCAACCTCTATGAGTGTGTCAGTGTCCCCTGTCCCTCTCCCTTGGGAGCCGCACCGGCCAGGAGAGCACATCGCACCACTCCCGTCCATGGCACCTCGGTTGCAGAAGGTGTTCGGTCGTGTGAACAGGTCGAAAGGTGTGCTGCACGCGCGGTCGTTGCCTTTTCGGAGTGCTAGCGTTTCGATACCTATCCTCGCACTTTTCTATATACAAATTGTGCAGAGGGGAGGTGTCCTCAATCGTTCGTCGGCGCCACTCAGCCGCTCAGCTGAGCGGCGCCGAGAAACACAGCAAAAACAAATTCTGCAGAGGGGAGGTGTCCTCGACCCTTTGTCGGCGTCACACATATCGAGCACAGAGAGCCACGGCGCCTTCCAAGGACCACCCGGGAGCGGCCCCGTCCCGTAAGGGGGCCCGGCTCCGGGCAGGGGCGAATGGCAACCCGGTTTGCGGGGCACCGCCGCAGCCGCACACCTCTCTTTTTCTTTTTCTCTCCATGGGTTTGCGCTGATCTTGACAGGTAAAGGCAATTCTTCTGATCTTTCTGGGCCTGCTTCTCGTGCGTATCGATAACCGACAAGCACGAGAGACAGGCCCAGAAAGATCAGAAGAATGTTCCTCTACCCGTTGCCAGGGTCTAGCAAAAGGCGGCCACAGGCCTCTGCCACAGTCATCTGTCCACCCTCACAGGGTGACCAAAAAAAGACGGTGGCAGAGGCCTGCTGGTCCCTTGCCACTTCACAAAACCCGCCCAGGAGCACAGCTGAAGAGAATCTCCGACGAGCAGAGGGGAGGTGACCTCGACCCTTCATCCTCTCGTGGTCAGGTGGCGCTTTGGCTTATGGCTCTTGTGCCTCCCAGATGTAGCCGTCCTCTCATCAGATTAACAGAGTGCAGACTCGTCGAGGTAAAAGGAGACTGCATCCTTCACCTCTGTACCCCAGATCAACAGAGAGCGCAGACACCGCAACAAGGTGACCCAGGTTATGAAACGGAGTTGAGGTCACCTCGCCAGAGATAGGACGTCGCAAAGTTGCTGGACAATCGGTCGTCGGCGGCTGGACTCCTTCGCTTCGAGTGTGCTGTGCACACTCGAATAGAAGGAGTCCAGCCGACGTGCAGAAGACTACATTGACCACCGCAGCGATCTCGGAGGCTCGAAGGCATTGCACAAAAATCTGCATTCTCTCCGAACATATACACAATTGCGAAACGGACTCGAATTCCACACCCGCTTTGAAGTCCGAAGTCCGTAACCAAAATCAGAGAGAAAATCAGAGAGGGGGATCGAGCAGTTCCAAGACAATCGCGGCCAGATGTTGTTGAAACTCTTCGTCTCTTGGACTCGCCATGGCAGAGGTTTTGATGACCTCGAACCTCTAGAACGAACGCCATATCCAGATCTATTTCGATATCCAAAACCATAAGCACAAGTCTACGTTTATTCTTTAAACATATATATATATATATATGTAACTAGAAATTGCATAGATCTGTGAGCGCGTAACCGAAGAAAACGTGCGCTCTGTCTCCACTGCCAAAGCGTGAACAACAAAGGACACATAAAACTCAGATGGGGTTCAGACGTCTCTGCATGGTCTGTCATGTCATCGACCACTGTGGCCACCTTGCGCAGCAGCCACTACTGTCTTCTGCAGCATATAAGACTTTGTTTCTTGAAAGAATCCTCCACAAGCTCCAGCTCTGTATCCATTTGGCGAAACAACTGGGACCTCAGCGCATGCTGCGCTGTTGCACAAGGGGAGGAGAACCTCTGGCTCTTTCCCAATCTACTGCAGGGCACTAGAGATCGAGAAGAAGCCCGACCTTGCACAAGGGGAAGTGAACCTCCACCCTTTTCTCAATCTGTACTGCAGGGCACTAGAGACCGAGAAAAGGCCCGGGATTGTGTATCTAGAATGCGTCTCAGCGATCAGCAGACATGAATTAAAGGCGGCTCCTTTTCGAAGACGAGTGGGCCCACGGAGATGTGTGGGCCTCATGTATGTTTCATGACAGCAGCAATGCGGTGTACGGCGTACTGGCTGCTGTGCAAACCTGAGGCTAGAACATGCAGGAGGTCATGCTCCAAGCTTCTGTACCTGCCACGAATGAGAAACGCTGCTGCAAAGGACTGTGACTCTGCTTAAGGAAAGGAGAGTCGATGTCACCTCCGCTTTTTGTGCCTGTGTTCTCGCAGCGGGCTTTATGTGTGCAGCTATATACAGAATTCAAAAACCGGGCTGCATGTCATCCCGGTTTTACGGGAGGCGACCTCGACTGGTGACTGAGCCATACGGGCACTGTAGATTGTGTTGTTTGGGACATGACAGCCACACAGCTAAACGTTGCTGAACAACGACATATATATATATATATACATACATGTACATATACATATACACAAGCATACGACTATATGTATACACACATTTGTAATAGATAAATTGTTTATATACGCCTACATATATATATATATATATATATATATATGCTACCCCCCCCCCAGATACCAATAGGTTTATGTGTTTTGTTCCCTAAACCCTGCAAATCAAGTACCCAAGGGCCTCGGAAGACATGGCGCGGCAGACTGTGGCAAACTGGACCAAACTACTTACAAGCTGCTTCTGGAAGCGACATGCATGCATCTGCACATGTACATAACCTACACAGAAGCATGGCTGCTGCGGTGTCAGAGGTTCTTGTCCGATGCTCATGAGCTCACACCACCACATCAGAAGCAATGAGAGTAAAACGCTTTACGGGCACGTTCCGGACCCTTTCACTTCACACAGATATTCGCACTTCACTTTTCCTCGGGCGCACGGCTGTCTTGGGTGCGTCCCTTGAGCCTAAACACCACAGTGGAACATTTGTTCCATACTATACAAAATCATGTGGCAAACAGCTCAACTACAGGATTATAGGGCAACACACTCCTAAGCGAAATGTTTGTTACCCCCTCTTCGTGCATCCTCTTTTGCCTTTTCTTTCCTAGAGGTGCAACGAACCCAAAACAGTCGCACTTTCCTCCTTTTGAAACACTCGTTGTGCACTCGCTTTTTGTCGTGGTGTGAGACGAGTGAAACAGAGCTACTCCTACCGGCCACTCTCAAACTCGTTCACCTCTTTGGCCTTTCAGCCTCAAAAGAACTCGTGGTGGCCCAAAGCCACAAAACTCTTCAAACTCTTTAAACTCTCCTCGTGAAGAAACTCTTCGGCTTCTCGTGGTGCAGTTGTCGTACAACTTTCAGAAAACTCTTTCCTCGTTTGGGAACGAAGTTCCCCCTCTGGGCTTTTCAGCCTTCAGATTCCCTTTTTCTTTATAGACCTCCGGTTTGGTCTTTCTTTCTTCTCTTTTCCTTTTCTCCTTTAGCCGCTCTTTTGTTGGGCTTTCTTTCCTTTGCCCTT